CGTGTGCACACCTGCACATGAAGAGTACCGTGTGGTTGTCCCTTTCTGCGTTTTGTGAGCTCCAGGGCGGCTCCACCTCCAGGGCCTCAACCAGGGCGCACGCACCTCATGACATCCTCTCACGACGATAGACTGCGCTCCGCCGTCGGCGTCGCGGGTTCTTTCGTTATACGAGCGTCATCTTGTATAGTGAACAGGCCGAGTTCTGCTGTCGAGCTGGAGCGTGGAGGCGCGCGCCAGGTCCTTTTCTCTTCTCTTCGCACATCACAGTAAGTATTGGCAACAAGATGGCACTTCGTACATCATTCGCGGCGTCCCGACCCATCACAGCCGAGTGGTAGTGGATGACCAGATGCCGAGCTGCACTTGCTGTCTTGTTGCTGGCGAGCACTAGCCGCGGTACCGTAGCGCAGAGCTCCTCCATTCTCCAGCTCACCCACGGCGGGGCGTGCGTGCCTGCCTGTGGCGAACTCGAGGTGGCGAATCGCGGACGGATGGATGGATCCCTACCTTCCTTGCTTGCTCCTTGCGGAGGGGAGCAAGCATGGATCTTGGAAGGACGACAAGGGCACAAGGGAACGGGAGTGAGTGGGGGCGCATGCGACACGCACACGGAGAAGGGCTGGGCAGAAGCGTCATTTCTTTTCTCCCTGTGTTAGTGCCAGTGCGCGCCAGTAAAAGAAAGAAAGAAAACGGACAACCCAAGGGAGGGATGGGAGGACGGCACGCCGCCACCACACAGGGATTTTAAGCAGTTGTTTTCGCTTTTGACCGCGCAAGATAAAAGGGTGGCTAAGGGCTCTGCCCGCAAGGCGCCCGCGTCGCAGACGCGGTACCATTGACAAATCTGCGATATACCCCCACACGAGCAAATAGCCAAAATCCGAATACCGTGCACGAATCCGGCGATGTCGGACCCAAGCCTTCAGCTGACATTCGTAAAATTGAAGCCAAGAACGGCCGCCGAATCCGTGCTTTCGGACGGAGCAACTGAGGGAAGCCGCTGATCGAGCCCAGCGTGCCCGCGGCCGCCTCCCGCGCAGCACCGCCGCTGGGGCCGACACGCTGCGGATTCGGATCGAGCCCGGGGGGCGCGGCGGGCCGCTCGATGGTCGTCCGCTTCGTCTGCGACAAGTCCATCCCAAAGGCGCGTGTCCTGCGATAGATAGACTCGACGGGCTCACCGGCGCAGGGTGGACGCAGGACAGATGCTGGCGGCACACATGGCGACAGGGACACACGGACAAGACACCCCCTCGCCTCTCCCTGCAGCCTGCCGACCGCCGCCGCTCTTTTCTCCTCCGCCGCCCGCCTCGCCTACCGCCTCTCCCTCCCTGCCGCCTCCCACCCTCCCCCTCGCCTTCTGGCCTCTCCCCGCCCCGCCACCTCTCCACTCGCCACTCCCCTCCCTTCGCCATCACCGCTACCCTCACCGCAGCCTCCCTCACCGCCACCGCCCCTCACCGCAGCCTCCCTCACCGCCACCGCCCCTCACCGCAGCCTCCCTCACCGCCACCGCCCCTCACCGCAGCCTCCCTCACCGCCACCGCCCCCTCCCTACCTCCAAAGGCGGTCCTCACCGAAGCCACCGGCGGCAGCCTCAAGTACAACCTCACGGTCCGCGCCGCCGCCGCCTGCCCGGTCGGTCGCTGCACAGCCAGCGCTGGGACTCGTCACACCTTTGCCACCCTCCTTGCGGAGCAGGAGGAGATCCGCTTGCTGTACTTT